AGAGAGAGACAGTATGAGCAGGGAAGGGGCAGAGAGAGAGGGAGACACAGAACCCAAAGCAGGCTCCAGGCCCCGAGCTGTCAGCACAGAGCCTGATGTGGGGCTCGAACTCACAAACTGGGAGATCCTGACCTGAGCTGAAGTTGGACGCTCAACCAACTGAGCCACCCAGGTGCCCCTATTATTTTTAATTTATTCTATAGATGGACAACTGAACTCATTCTAGTTTTGAGATATGACAAAACTGCTATAAATACCCTCATTTGGGTCTTTTTTTTGGTATGCTCGTTTGTCTTAGTTTGAATGCTAAGATCATAGAAATTGCTGGATCATAAGGAAAATACATTACTTACTTTGATTAAAAACTGTCACATCTTTTCCCAAAGATTTTGTATTATTTTGTATACCATCTAACAACGTGTAACAACTTTGGCTGCTCGACTTTGTCACGGTTCCTTACAACATGGTTACTGTCGTATGTAGTTTTTGGTTTGTGTGCTCATTAAGACTTTATTGGCGCTAAAAGAGCTTAAGACAAATTGACCAAAAATCCAAAGTTGCCTTGGTACAGATGCCCCTTGGTTTGGGAAAACTCAGAATCACTGCCGCTAGGAAGGTAGAGAACAAAGCACATCGCACAAAGTGGCGGCAAAGCATTCCAATGAGTGGAACAGTGGGACGGGATTGGTGGGCACGGGAGTCACCAGGGGGTGCGTCACACAGTGGGTCATGCCTCACACATACTGTGTGTCTATGCACCCCACCAAAAAAGGGGGGGAACTGAAACCCGATAGCAGCGGTAATAAATAAGAGCCCTGGCTAGTAGGAAAGTGGCCTGGGTGTCCCTGTCTCTCCAGTGCACAAGCTGGAATCTGGAGGCTTCGAAAAAGTGGCAGTGTCAAGGGGAGATCAGGGCCCCTACCGCCTAGGAAGGCACGGTTCCCAACTAGGTGGTCACTGGGGGGTCACCACGGTGAGCAAGAACCTAGGGGTGGTTCTCCAAGCTCCAGTATGTTTTTCAGTTGCAACCCCCATCCAGGTACATGCCTCCTTCACTAGCTGATGTGACAGACTCCTCCAAACTCTGGCACAGGACCAACTTATTTCTGATACCACCCCCTGCTCGTTGAACCTGTGCCCACAGGTAGAGGGTCTTTAAATCTGGGGGTGGTTCAGAGAACAAAGAGGGGTGGGGCGCTCAGCTTGTCTAACAGGCCACAGGGACTGTGGGCATCTCCACGGACATGGGCCTTCTTGGCCATGGTCTTCCACCAAATCCTTGGGAAGGACTCTGGGAAGAAGCCATTGGCCTGAGAATAGCCACCTCCCTGCTCGCTGGCCTCACGGCCAGTCTTGCCAGAACCCCTTGGAGTAAGGGGGCAAGGCCACCAGACATGGTCAGCGCTTTGATTTTCAGAGTGCAGCAGAGAACCGGGGAGCTGTCCGGCCTGGCACGGTGCCCCCTCACCACCCTCAATGTGGGAACAGCCACTGGCAGCTAAAACTGAAAGCAGAACTGTTTCTCCGGGTCTCGTCACAGGTGTTGATCCTAAACTCGAGGATCCTAACCATCTCCCATCTCCTTCATCCACCACTAACACGTGAGAGACAAACTCGGCGCGAAGATATTTTTCAGTACCCCTTTGAAAAAAATCTTTAAAATGCAGAAACCCCGCAAATGCTGTTTTTTTTTCTTTCAATGACAGCCCTCTGAGAACACAGACAGGGGGCCAGTGTGGAACCTGGCCACCTGCAAGGAGCCACCTGCCAGGGACCTGCTGGGGCACTCAAAGGCGAAGTTTTCTTCTTTCTAAGACACCGTCCCCTTTCTATAAAAGAGAAGAGAGCAAACAGACGAAAGGCCTACTCTGAGATAAGGGGCTTCCTCCCTCCGCCCCGGGTACTCAGTGTGGCTGCTTCGGCATGGGGCCTCCCTGCCCAGGGGCTGGCAGAGGGCTCCCATCTCCTCGTCCTGTGGGCCAGCGGTGGGTGCGTGTTCTGTCTCGGGTCTTCTCTCCCTCAGTTGCTCCTCTCCTGTGGCTAACAGTGGCCCTCCAGTTTCAGCAGCGGAAAACAGGTATCCATTGATTTATTTTACTTTTTATTATTCAAAATAAGAGCTGCTGGACTGAGTCCCCTTCTGGTACTGGGACAGCCCCATCACTGCACTGTGCCGCCGCGAGGGGCCTTGCAACAGTGGCACGTCAATCGATGTGTGACTGAAACTGATTGCCAAGGGTAACTGTCCTGGGACAGCTCGGGCTGGCTCACCTTGGAGGGCTGGCTTCTGAAGACAGAGCTCTGAGCCAGGGCGCCCAGTGAGAACGGCTGCAATGCCACCTCCTGACTGGCCTGGTGGGCAGGGAGATGCCTGTGGCTGGGCCCAGGAAGCTCAGAGCTGTTCTTCCAGCATCCCCCAGGATCGGCCTTGCCTTTTGGGATTCCCTGGGTCGGCCTGTCCAAAATACCGCCGAGGCAGCACGGGCCACACAACCAGGTTGAAGGGATGGGGAATGTCCACGGCAGCCGTGTGGCTGGCCCTGGCACGGATCATGCCCATCTGGGTCATGGGTCTGGAAGTATGTGTTCCAGGGCCAGCTCTGGCTGCTCTGATCATAGCCTGGCCCTGGGGTCATAGCCTCCTGGGGTCATATCTGACCCCTTCATAGATGGTGTTGACCGGCTCCCTGGGCTTCCTGAGCAGCCGGAAGCTTTACTACAGGTAGAGTTCAGGAGCCTCAGCAGGTGTTTCCAGTGCTGCTGTGAGGACAGGACCTTTGGGTCGCTTATGACAAGGACCTCACATCATGCTTTGGTCAGGGCCTTGTTAAGCTGTCTGGGCTTGTTTAAAAATCCAATGCCTTGTTGCTCAGAAGCCCATATGCAGGAGCGTTAGATAAAGTCCTTTTGCTGGCCCTGGAATGTGTCCACGTGAGTGAATTCTACTTCCCGGGATGCAGGGAGCCTCTGAATTGCACGTGTTGCATCAAATAGGATGCTAGCCCCGGTTAAGGGCCTGATGATGCCGATCTGGTCTGGCTTGGCACCTTCCTTCAGCAGCTTTGGGACGATCTACTCCGTGTTTGCAGTCTCCTTCCTATTCAGGCAGAAGCTGCTTCAGCTGGCAATCTCCTCTGGGCTCTGGGCCACCTAGAATATCCGGTCGGGGGTCACTGGAAATCCAATCCCTTCTTCATACGATCTGCTGTAGTAATGCCTTTCTGAAGAGGGACCTCTTCAGGCATTGGTCACCCGTGAAGAGGAGCTACTTGGCTCCCAGGACCATGCATTCCCTCCAGCTCAGTGGCATGGGAGCATGCATCAATTAAAAGGGGCCTCTGTTGCCCACACCCATACCTACATCTGTGCTCATAAGCAGCTCGTTCTCCGTGGCGAGCTTCAGGGTCAGGTGCGGCTTCTCTTCTGCCAATAACAGCTCCCCGTCTCTTCCTTCAGTTGGTGCAGCTTCTAGAACTTGGCAGGTTATCTGTGCTCTTGACCTGGTTGTGCAGGGCCAGAAGTGATACTGAGTCCTCATCCAGAACAGCATGACTCGCAGCCCTGTCTGGTGGATCTTCTCGTTAGCTGATCGATGCCTATAGTACTTGGAACACAAATAGGGGCGCACTTGCCCCGGCCAGGTGGTAACTGATGGGGGCCTGACAGTTCCTGCATCCTGGCTTGTTGGTCTTTACTGCACAGTCGTTATCTGTAAACCTGAAGACTGGTTCAGGTTGGGGAGTCCTTGTGCCATGAAATTTTGGGGCAGCTGGCTTCTGACGATCATGTCCTCCAGCTGGTGGCTGATGTAACCCCATATGGAGGTCTCCTCCAGTGCAAACGTTTTCAGCGAGCTCCGCGTGTTGTGGAACGAGGTTGACTTCCACCTGAAATCCACCTGGAAGTGATGATTTCCTCCACAGGCACGTTCATTACTGCTCTGCAGCTCAGTGGTGATCCCATCACCATAATTGACAGGGATCTCGATGACGTGGCTGATCACTTTGCACAGGGGGTGCCAACTCCATTTCCTTTGTACGCAGGCATATCTAGTCCCCTTGGGTAAGCTGCATATCCCAAACAAATTCTGGCTGAAGCCTCATTAGCACTCATACTCAGTCTTAGGCAGAGTAAAGTAGGCAATTGTGTTCTCGTTAAGGACCACCTGGCGCCTTGCCATAATGTTATCTTGACACTGGGACTCCTTCCGGTTTCTTATCATAGTTGGCGTCCACCTTGATGCGAGGACCAGCTAGGATCCGGTCGTGGTAGGCGTCCTCCTATAGCCGGACGACGCTCTCTGGCTCCTCCCAACCCTGGCTTCTCTAAGTCCTGCAAGGTGGCGGAAGGATTTTCCCTCCCCAGCGCTTCCACACGGCGGATTGATCTGCAGGGTGGTGATGTACCCAGCCCACAGCTACTCCTGCTCAAAGGGGGGTCTTGCCTCGTTAGCGCAGGAAGCCTTAGCTCTGAGCGGTCCTGGGTGGTGCAGTTGAGGCTGTTTTGACTGGGCCGTTCAGACGGCAGCGCTTTGACCCAGTTGGCACTGGCAGGATTGAAGCCGAGGAGGAAGACGGTGAGCCAGCCACCCTTAGAACATTCCAGAACCGTCTGTCAGAGAGGCCCAACCTGGTGGCGAGTCGCCTCTGTGCATGTGGCCCCCGGGAAGTGATTTACATTGTGGCTGCGAGGCGTTTTTACACGTGGGTTACAGCCCCTCCTCTTGCTGCTCTTACAGTAAATCAGGCAAACAGTACTGTGTATTTTGCAGAAACCGCGTGCAAGCCCCGGGAGACCCTTTGCCTCACAGGTGTCTACATATTCAAAGTTCAACTCGGTGAGCAACTGATGAGGTTTGGCTACGCTGTTATCCACGGACCCCGTGACGCAGGATGCCGTCGGTGCTTCCCAAGCTGCTGTCGGGGTTGCCCGCCCGCGCACAGCCTCCTCCAGGCCCTTCGAACCTTTGCTCCCGGCTGGGGAGGGTGAAGTCAGTGAACTTGGGCTTGAGTATGCAGCCCAGTAGTTTGTCCCCTTCGGAGTGAGCAGGATGAGCGTCCGTGAGCTGGGCCCTTCCGCCCGCCAGCGCATGGTGCCATCAGGTGGAGTCCAGAGGCCACCGGGACTTTGGTACAGCCGGACTTATGGCGGCGGCAGGGCGGGCGGGCGGCGAACCTAGTGCACCCAGACCCTGCAGCCCGCTGGGGCCGCCCCTCACCTTCGCCGCCAGCAGCTCCCCGCAGAATGCACCGCAATCCCCTGCGGTGAGTAGTTTTACTTTGATCCCTTCTGGCCAGTGTGAAGTGGCCTGTCTTGCATTCCTGACTTCCCATAGTGTTGTTTTTCAGTCTGCGTTTGAGAATTTCCATTTGATGCTTTTGATAGAAATTTCCGGTTTTGTGCTTCGTTGTTCGATCTCGTTATCCCTTGTGATCCATTAATCACAGTTAAAATCTGTTTCTGAAAACCAGTATCTGGATCACCTGTGCATCAGTTTCCTTTTTGTTTTGTTTTGTTTTCTGAGCTTTTATTTTGTATACCTGAGAACTTTTTTATTGAATTATGGAAATTAAGTTTAAAAATAATAGAGGTTTCTGGGAAAAAAAAAAAGTTCCCTTTCTCCAGAGAGGATTTCTTTAGCTTCTGGCAGGCAATTAGAGTAGGCATGGATTACTTTAATCCAAACAGATTGAGCCGATTCACAGCTGGGTTTCGTTCTTTGTAAGGCTGGTCGATTTCTTTTTTCCTTTTTTTTTTTTAGTAGTTTCCCCTCCCCCCACCCCCCCCAGCTTTATTGAGAAATAATTGACCTACATCGTCGCATAAATTTAAGGCATACAGCTGATGGTTTGATTTACATATATTATGAAATGATTAGCACAATAGGTTCAGCTAATATTCATCTTCTCCTATAAATACAATAAAAGGAAAAGAGAGTTCCTTGTGATAGGAGCTCTTAAGATTTACTCTTAAGAGCTTTCCTACATGCGTACAATAGCATTAGCTACAGTCATCATGTTTATGTTACATCCATTGTACTTGTTTGTTTGATAACTGGAAGTTTGTACCTTTGATCACCTTCCCACCTTCCAGTCAGTCCCCCCTGCCCTCCATCTTTGGTAACGCCAAGTCTGATCTGTTTTTCTGTGTTAGTTTTCTTTTCCTATTTTAAAGATTGTATATAAGTAAGATCGTATACGGTATTTGCCTTTTTCTGTCTGACTTATTTAACTTAGTCTATTGACTTCAGGATCTGTCCATGTTGTCATAAACGGTAGGATTTCTCTTTTTTGTGTGGGGGTTAATATTCTGTGTGTGTGTGTCTATCACAACTTACTTATCCATCCGTCCATCGATGGACACTCAGCTTGTTTCACCGTCTTGGCTGTTGTAAATAATGCTGCTATGAACATGAGGGTGAAGATACCTTTTTGAGTCAGTGTTTCATTTCCTTTGGACATATTTCCAAAAGTGTAATTTCTAGACCAATGGTGGTTCTTACTAACCTTTTGAATATCCTCTATATAGTTTTCCATAGTGGCTGCACACATTTACATTCCCACCATCAGTGTATAAGGGTTTCTTTTCTCCACATCCCTTCCAGCTTTTGTTCTATTTTGTCTTCTTGATGATGGTCATTCTAAAAAGGTGGAAGGTGGTATCTTCTTGTGGTTTTAATTGGTATTTCCCTGATGAGTAGTGATGTTGAACGTGAGGATGAACTATGTCTAGTTTAACCTCACTCTTAAGGGTGTAGCCCTTCTGGGGTTCAGTTGAATACTTGGGGTTTTTATCAGAACCTTACCTGTTGGTGATCCTTTCATGCCATTTATTATGTCCCCAGAACCCTTAAACTGATAAAAGTCCTGTCCAATTTCTCAGATTCATAGCGGTTACTTTCTTCTCTACTTTTTTTACTTCTTGGCCTTCTTGTCTTACATTAGCAAATGACTTAAAGGGCAAGGAAGATCAGACTGTTGAGCTGAATTCTTTGAATTTTTTATCTAAAATCTTTGTGTTTTAGGCCCTTGGCAGCCTTGGTCCCTGAACTCCTGTTTTAGTTTTCTAGACTCATGAGATTGCTGAAGTTCTTTAGAAGACCATTGACTGTTTGAAGCAAAAATAATAATAATGGATTGTGGGGTCTATAGAACATGTTGAACTAAAATATATGAGTTCAATCCAAGGAACTGAGTGGGGATTAAATGAATTATACCATTATATGGTTATTTACGTAGTATAATACTTGAATTGAGACTGTGATAGGTAAAGATTGCATATTTCAATCTTCAGGTGAAACACTAAAACACACAGACACACACACACACACCAAGAAATATGGCTAAAAGTCAGAAAGAAGATATAATTGTATAGTAGAAAATACTTTATAAGCTCAAAAGATAATTTCAAGAAATGAATGTTGGAGCAAATAACAGATGCTGTAAATAGAAAACAAATAGGAAGGTAGTAGAATTAAAGTGATCTGAACAAAGCCATACTGATTTTAGATATAAATGGATTAAGCACTTCATTAGAAAGAAATTATAAGAGTAGATAAAAAGCAGACCCATTTGCATGTTGTATACAAGATACATCTGTAATATCTAAAAACGCAAGTTGAATTTAAGAGTGGAAAAAAATGTGCCTTAAAAATACTAAGCGTAAGTAAGCTGTTGATAATGTGAAATGGAAACCTGTCGTATGACACAGCAATTCCATTTCTAGGTATTAAGCCAAGAGAAAGGAAATATGTGTCCCTAGGAACATGTATACGATGTTCATAGCAAACTTTATTTATAGTAGGCTAAATATGAAAACGGTCCAAAGGAGAATCGGTACAAACAGGGATTAAGAAATTACAGTATATTTATATAATGGAATATTACTAAACAAAAAGGAATATTCTTTTGATTGCTGACACAGTATAGCTAAATCTCACCAATATTACTTCTGTAAACGAGTCTGGACGCACAAGAGTATTTTATATGTGACTTCATTTTCGCGAGTTCCAAGATTTGGCAAATGTATTTCCTGTTAGTAGAACTTGGAAACTGGTTATCTCTAGGGGAAAGCAGACTAAGGATGAGGGACATTGGGGGGTGATGAAAATGTTGCAGATATTAACGTGGGTGGTAGTTACATGGAGGTGTACAGGTACAGCATCACTGAAAAATGAAGCTGGACTGAGACATTAATGTATTTGTTTCTTTATAACAAGATAATAGGTACCTATCACTTGTTTAAAAAAAAGAAGGGGAGGGGGAGGGGGGAATGATAATTCCAAAGGTAGAGCTGGACTTTAGGTCATTTTAGTGGGTCACTTTGTAATATATAAGTGAACATGTTGAAACCATTGAAAAATTCAGTGGATTTATGATTTTTTTCTCCCAATAATGGTGGTTTTCCCAAAACTCCTAACTTGAGTTCCAATGCACATCTCCTAGTTACGTGTCCAAACTACTGGATAAATGGGACGGAGAGGGTTTAGGTTTAAAGAGTACAGTATTTATGCTTCGAGTTTATATCAAAATGCCTAAAACATTAAATCATTCATCTGCTGAGATGAAGATGTCACGTATTCACAAATGCCTTAGAATTTGAACCAAACGAAAATGTAGCCTGAGCCTTCTAGCCCAATGGATTTAATAAAATATTACAGATATTTTCAAAAATTGACGGTAAAGATGGGTATAATCTTCGAACACATTGGGGTCCAGAGGAGAGAAATGAGAACTACAAAAGGGTCAAATGGAAATTTGAGAATTGAGATGAGAAATTCACTGGAGTTTGCAACAACAGATTGGAAAATGAGAAGAGATCAGTGAACTTGCAGATAAGTCAATATAAATAAGCCAAACCAAAGCCCAGAGTGAAAATAATAATAAAAAAGAAGATGACTCATTGACCTGTTTATTATAGGACAATATCAAGAAATCACACATATGGGGAACTGGAATCAAAGAGGGGGGGCGGGCTTGGCATTAGAGAAAAATATTTGGAGAAAAAAAATGTTGAAACATTTTCCAAATAAATTAGGAAAGCTTCGTTGCTTATTGAACCTCGAAGCTCAGTATGACTTGCAAGGTGAACTTTTCTTTGCAAACTGACCATTTGACGGTGGGTTTTAAATTTTATTGAGATATAGTTGAACAAGACAAGTAAACATATTTTCAGTGTACATTTCAGTGAGTTTTGGCACGTGAATATACCCTCGCCCCTCAATTGACTTCTGCCCACGTTTAATTCCTCCTGCTGATCCCTCTCCCTTGTTCCAGACAACCAGCGATCTGTCATGAAGAGAGAGTTGGCATTTCTAGAGTTTCACATAAATGAAATAACATTGTATGTACTTCTTTCTGTTTGCTTTTTCTTTACAAAAAAAAATTTTTATGTTTACTCATTTAAAAATTTTTTTTTTTCAACGTTTATTTATTTTTGGGACAGAGAGAGACAGAGCATGAACGGGGGAGGGGCAGAGAGAGAGGGAGACCCGGAATCGGAAACAGGCTCCAGGCTCCGAGCCATCAGCCCAGAGCCCGACGCGGGGCTCGAACTCACGGACCGCGAGATCGTGACCTGGCTGAAGTCGGACGCTTAACCGACTGCGCCACCCAGGCACCCCTTATGTTTACTCATTTTTGAAAGACAGAGAGCACAAGCAGGGGAGGGGTGGAGAGAGGGGGGGGGACACAGAATCTGAAGCAGACTCCCGGCTCTGATCTGTCAGCCCAGAGCCTGATGCGGGGCTCGAACTCACGAACCGCGAGATCATGACCTGAGCCGAAGTTGGACGCTCAACGGACTGAGCCACCCAGACACCCCTGTTTGCTTTTTCTTCTTAGAATTTTTTTTGGAGCTTGATCCGTGTTGTCTATCAGCAGTTCTTTCTTATCGCTAAGTAATAGAATTCTCTTGAATGAATTTACTGAAACTGGCAAAATTAAGCTACAGTGAGGTAAGAGTGATTGCCTCTAGCAGGAGGATGAGGACATTAATTGGAAAGGGCCTTGAAGCAAGTTTCTGGGGTGTGGGTGCTGTTTTTAGGGTGTACACGTTTGTCAGAACCTGTTCAACTGTTCTTAAGAAACATGCGCTTCACCGTGTGTAATTTGTATGGCAGGGAAGGGAAAAATAAAGCGGGGAAGGGTGACTGAATTGTCACCCTCATCTCTTGATATTCTTGTGCGCTTGAGTCAGTGGCTTATTTTTCATGTTTCTGGTTATCCGGAAGTACTGTCTCTGGACCTATTTTTAAAGCATTTTC